GCCCCACCCATTATGAACATCCCCCACCAACTGTGCTTTTGTTACAATTGATGAACCTACTAACTCCCTGAAGTCATTTGGCTAAAGGTTAGCTGTAAAGAAATCACTGTTTGCTATGCTTATTACTTCTTATGCATACTGTCTGAAGAAATTCAGAGTACAAGTAGATAAGAAATGGAAAGTAAAGGTTATACCAATCTTATACTTTGGACTAAAACAAACAGGCAAAGGCCAGAGTTTAGGTAATAAGATTTTTATTTTTTTTTGGCTTAAGATATGATTCTCAAGAGAAAATCCTGTACCTATGAAGCACTTGTTTATTATTTCTTTCGCTCTGAGGAGAGAGGGCTTGTCACAGGAGCATGGTGCCCGTGGCTGTGGTGAGGAAGCTGTCCAACGTGGTGACAATGACACTGACTGGAGCTGTGTTCGTGTCCTAGGGCTGCCCAGACCAATGGCCGCACACTAGGTGACTTAGCACAACAGGCATGTATTCTCTCACAGTGCTGGAGGCTACAGTCTGTCATCAGGTGTTGGCAGAGTTGGTTCCTTCTGGGGCCTCTCTCCTACCTTCTGGTGGTTGCTGGTAATCCTCAGTACTCCCTGGCTTGTGGCAACAGAGCTCCAATGTTTGCCTCTGTCTTCAGAGGGTTGTCTTCTCTGGGTGTGCATCTGTTTCCTTTCTTTTCTTTTCTTTTCTTTTTTTTTATATCTTATTGATTTTTGTACAGAGAGGAAGGGAGAGAGATAGAGAGCTAGAAATGTCTATGAGAGAGAAACATCGACCAGCTGCCTCCTGCACACCCCCTACCGGGGATGTGCCCGCAACCAATGTACATGCCCTTGACCAGAATCAAACCTGGGACCTTTCAGTCCGCAGACCGACGCTCTATCCACTGAGCCAAACCGGTTTGGGCTGTTTCCTTTCTTTTTTTAAAATATGTTTTTCTTGACTTCAGAGAGGAAGGGAGAAGGAGAGAGAGAGAGATAGAAACATCAATGGTGAGAGAGAATCATCAATCGGCTGCCTCCTGCACGTCCCTACTGGGGATTGAGCCTACAACCTGGACATGTGTCCTGACCCGGAATCAAACTGTGACCTTCTGGCTCATGGGTCAAAGCTCAACCACTGAACCACACCAGCCAGGCTGCATCTCTGTTTTCTTATAAGACATGAGCCATTGGACAAGGACCCATCCTTCTTTTAGTTGGCTTCATTGTAATGAATGACATTTGCAAAGACCTGCCTATTTCCAAATAAGGTCACATTGGCAGGTACTGAGGTTAGAGCTTGCACCTATCTTTCTGGGAAGTCATAATTTAACCTACAACAGGAACCATCAACAATGTGTTGGCAAACACACTGGCACTGCACAGGGAACTCTGCAAATAGATCCATTTACTTGGGAGGAAAATATATCAATTTCCTTTTCCAACCTGGCCATGTGCCTCAAGCACCCTCTGTTGGCAGAGTTTAGCATCTAGCCAGGCAATGGGGAAATGCAGACTGCAGAGCAGAGGAGGAGTGCGGGTTTACAGCTCAGAGGCAATAAATGAATAACAGCCACAGACCCACGTTTTGCCCGCTTTCAGGTGAGCTTTCCCTACGGTCGTTTGATCTTGATTACGAAGCTCAGCTGTGGGACTGTGACTTAGGAAGATTCCAAATAGAGGAGACACTGGGGTTGACACATAGGAAATAGGGGGGGGGAGGGTTGGAAGGAGTCACAGAGATGAAACACCTTGGGCAGAGGGACCAGGATGAGCAAAACCAGAGCATGTGAGACCCTAGATTGTCACAGAAGCCTGAAAACCATGCCACAGTTTTTGCAAATGAAGTTGGGTAAGAGCAACGTGACCACCTTTGTAATGTAGACAATTTCCTTTCTCAACAAAGCAGCGTGGGGACGTCTTCCCTTAGGGAGGAGAGCCCTGAACAGGTAGCAAGCAGCTTCAATGAGGAGCTTGCATGGAGGAAATGGACTGGGAAAGCTGTGTAACTCAGGAGCCCCCACGGGAGGCAAGGTTCAAGGACAATAATCAAATGTTTCATTCACAAAACTGACAGGATCCAATGGAGCGATGGCTGGCATCTCAAACACAACATGACTCAAGAGAGGGCATCACCCTACACCATAGACCTACTGCCCTTCCCTGTTCCTTCTTTCAGGGACGGCATCCGGCTGCCCATCCCAGGAACCTGGCCATTATCATGCCTCATTCTTCTCCTTCACTCTTCCAGAACCAATGATTGAATACCGCCCATTTCACTTCATAAATCTATGTCAACTTTTCTTGGTCTTTCTCCATTCTCAATGCTTTATTGAGACAGGCCTGTAACATTTTTCACTTGGATTCTTATGACTGTCCCAATTCATTCTTATAAATGTCCCCACTCATTTCCTCTGACAGAGTAATTATTCTGAAAAGCAAGCACATCAGAAGGTGCCACTCTATTACTTAAAAATTCCACGCTGGCTTTCCATTGCTCTTAGGATAGAGAAACTACTTCAACATGGAATAAAATGGCCCCTCTGGCCTTCCCAGTTTCATCCCCTCTATTCCTCATCTCCACCTACTCTTACTGGTATAGGGGCTGCTTTTATTTCTTGAAAAGCTTCTCTCTTTTTTTGGCCTATCTCTTGTTTTTCTTCTTGGTACTTATGTTACAACTCCCTTATCCCAAAACTCCACCCTCACTCCCACCCTTCAATTCATCCTCTATTTGTCCTTCAAAGTCAGTGTAGATGTGAATTCCTCCTGGAACTGACCTTAAGGACTGACCCTAACTCTAATAATTTCAGGCTAGGTGACTCTCTATGTGTTTCCATTACTTCTCTATCTCATATGTATTTGATTTATAGTGTATGGTATGTGCTATATAATCATGTATATTTTTACCTTGTTTCATTTTCTTTTTAAAGAAATGTTTTTATTGACTTTCAGAGAGATGAAGGGAGAGAGAGAGGGAAAGAGAGATAGAAGCTTCAATGATGAGAGAGAACCATTGATGGGCTGTCTCCTGCACACCCCCTACTGGGGAGCAAGCCTGCAACCCCAGCATGTGCCCCAACAGGAACCCAACCGTGATCCTCTGGTTCATGGGTCAAAGCCCACTTGGCTGGGCTTATTTCATTTCCTCTGTTTCTTTCTTTCTTTCTTTTTTTTTTTTGTTATTAATCTTCACCCAAGGATATTTTTCCATTGATTTTTAGGGAGACTGGAAGAGAGAGGGAAAGACAGAGAGAAACATCGATAGGAGAGAAACACAATGATTGGTTGTCTCCTGCCCGAGGCCTGACCAGGGCCTGGGCCAGGGAGGAGCCTGCAACCAAGGTACCTGTCCTTGACTGGAATCAAATCCTTTGGTCCACAGGCTGGCACTCTATCCACTGAGACAAACTGGCTAGGGCTTGTTTCATTTTCATAAAAGAACTCTTAATTACATATTAAAGTTTATTTGCTTATTATCTGTCATCCTTCACTAGCATAGATGCTCCTCCAGGTCAAGAACCTGGCCTACCTTGCTCACCACTCTGTTCCCAGTGCCTACAACAGTGCCTAGTTCATAGTAGAGACTCAATAAATATTTACTGAGGGAATGATATAAACAATTTTTTTGAGGCAAAGATCTTCATGTTACTGTTTAAGCTCATGTAATATGTGGGACACAAATATTTGGGTAACCCAAAATTCAAATTTAACTGAGCGACCTGTATTTTTTTGGCAACTGTACACACTTGGCGATATCTGGAGACCTTTTTAATTGTCAGGCCTGATGGCGTTGTGTGTGTGTGTGTGTGTAGAGGACAGGGATGCTGCTAAACATCTTAACAATGCAAAAGGACAGTCCCTACAAGGCTAAGAATTCTCTGGTCCAAGGTGTCAATGATATGGAAATTAAGAAACCCCGAGCTAACCGGGACCAGTTTGGCTCAATGGATAGAGCGTCGGCTTGGGGACTGAAAGGTCCCAGGTTCGATTCCGGTCAAGGGCATGTACCTTGGTTGCAGGCATATCCCCGGTAGGGGGTGTGCAAGAGGCAGCTGATCAATGACTCTCTCTCATCGATGTTTCTAACTCTCTCTCTCTCTCCCTTCCTCTCTGTACAAAATCAATAAAATATATTAAAAAAAAAAAAAAAAGAAACCCCGAGCTAGATAGTCATGAATAAACTTACCAGTCCCTGGCAGGCAGGCAGCACCTAGAATCTCTCAGTTCATCTTCTTTTTGGAAAGGCAGCATGCGGTTATTGAGAGGAAGGCGTCCGGGGTGCAGACCCGGCTTTAAGACCCCGTGCACACACCCTGACGCTGACAACCAGAGGGCCAGAGAGCCAGCCCACCCGGGGCGGCAGGTGAAATCGTGCTCTTGAAAAGATCGCGTGTGAAGGGCACTGTGGACGGGACAGCGCTCCGCACACACTGGCTAGTGCGGGTGTTTTTTTTTTGTGTTTTTTTTTTTTTTAAGTGTTGACAGGTTAATACATCAAAACAGATAGTTATCACTTATATTGCATTTGCCATTTCTGAACAATCCAAAGTAGAGGCAAATAGTGACACTTCATAAAAATGTTCATTCCCATTCCCTTCCCTACGACCCAGCCTCCCTTGAATACTCCCTCCGACCCCCTACAGAACTTTGTCCTGAATAAAACACTGAAATACATCATAAATAGTAAATCATGGGGGGTGGGGAGGGGGATAACAAAACAAAACAGGAAGAATTCTTTCTTTCCTTCTTGTAAAAAAAGAACATGGCAGCAAAGACAGGCCGCCGGAACCTGGCTGAGGGTGTCTAACATAGACAGTTATTGGGGTGTGGGCTAACCTGCGCTTTTAAATCCGACAAATCCAAACCCTGTGGCCGCCGGGGTCCGGAAGGCGTGCGGCGCTACAGCGGAAGCCGCGGTCTGGCGGAGGCGTCCTTCCCTAGCAACAGTCGCCAAGAGCGTGGCGGCTGCGGCGGCGCCCAGCGCGCCTGCGCGGAGGCGCTCCTGCTGACTGGCAGCGGGACGCGGCGGCGGCGGGAGCCGGAGCGGGAGCGGCCGGGCCGGTGGATCCGCGGCCGAGGCCGGCATGGCGGCGCCGCTCGCTGCGCGCCGGGGCGCCGGGGACGCGGGCGGGCGCCGAGGGCCGCTGCTGCCGCCGCTGCTGCTGGCGCTGCTGCTGGCGCGGCCGGCGGCGGCCCTGGTGGAGGGGCTGTACTGCGGCACGCGGGACTGCTACGAGGTGCTGGGCGTGAGCCGCGCCGCCGGCAAGGCGGAGATCGCGCGGGCCTACCGCCAGCTGGCGCGGCGCTACCACCCCGACCGCTACCGGCCCGAGCCCGGCGACCCGGGCCCCGGGGGCGCGCCGATCAGCGCCGAGGAGGCCTTCCTGCTGGTGGCGACCGCCTACGAGACGCTCAAGGTGAGGCCCGGGGTCACGGGGGGCGCTGCGGGGACCCCCGGGGGCGGCCCCTGGCCCGCGCGGGGCGAGGTGTCCCCACCCCTCCCACGCCGGGCGCGGAAGCCCCTGTGATCCGTGGGGTGCTCGCCTTCCCACGTGGGCCTGGGTGAGAAGAGCCCCGCGGCCCATTGGCAAAGCTGGGCACCCCGCTGGCCTTCGGGGCAGCCGGCCCGCCCCTTCCTGTGACAGCCCCGTCCTGCAAGGCGAACCGTATGGTGGGCATCGAACCATGTGTCGGGCATCGTACAGCTTGTGGAAAGCGTTTTTTAAAAATTTTTTTTAAAAAAGTATATTTTATTGACTTTTCACAGATAGGAAGGGAGAGGGATAGAGAGCTAGAAACGTCAGTGAGAGAGACATCGACCAGCTGCCTCCTGCACACCCCCTACTGGGCATGTGCCCGCAACCAAGGTACATACCCTTGACCGGAATCGAACCCTGGACCTTTCAGTCCACAGGCCGACGCTCTATCCACTGAGCCAAACCGGTTTCGGCTAGAAAGCGTTTTAACAACGTGGGGCTCCCACTGGGGAGGCAGAGGGATGGGGGCACCAGGACCTGCGGTGGGAATGCCCGGAGAGGGCTTCCGCGTGGGAGGGTGGTGTGAGAGCGCCCATGTGGGCATGGTCTTCTTGGGTTTAAGGATGGAGAAAACTCCTAAAAAGAGCCATGAGCAGCCCGCCACAAGACCAGATGTTGGTCCCTGGGCTCCTACGCCCAGTGTGACCTTGGGTGGTGACTTGATATGCTGAGTAGTTGCTGCTTCCTATATGAAATGAAGGCCAGGGTACCTCCCCACGGGCTTGCTTAGTTATTTATTTATTTATTTATTTATTTATTTATTTATTTATTTTTATGAGGATAAAGAAGTGTGAGAAAGCCCCCTGCATAGGGCCTGGAAATAGAGGGGCTTCATGAATTGGGATTCTAGATTCCGAGAGGAGCGTTTCCGGCAGAATATTCTGTATATTCTGTATGTGTGCGTTGGACAGAGGTTTCACTGGGTCCCTGGGGAGCGGGAGACGAAGCGTGATCCTGTTTTCTAGGGCAAAAATCAAACCATCTAAGAAATCACAAAGTATAAAATCCTATTTGATGGAGGTGTTTCTGACTCAGAGGCCCCATCGACATCGTGCTAATGCCAACTGCAGTGGCCGTTGTACGGTGTTTCCTTTTATTTTTGAGGCCAGTTTTTCATGTGGTGGTGTAGTTTGCTTTTAATGACTCCTTTGAGCTGGTATTCAATAATATAACCATGGATTATTTTTCCAGGTTAGCTGTCCAAGCTGGAAATACTGAGTCAAGGAGTTAAGGGCTCTGCATTCATGCTTCCCAGAGCAGTTTGGATAGTATGGAGTCATACAGTGAGCATGCCTTGCCCCGGCCGGTGTAGCTCAGTGGTTGAGCATCCCCCACCATGAACCAGGAGGTCATAGTTCAATTCCTGGTCAGGGCACATGCCAGGGTTTCAGTCTTGATCCCCAGTAGGGGCTATGCAGGAGGCAGCCAATCAATGATTATTATTGGTGTCTCGGTGTCTCCCTCCTTCCCTCCCTCCCTCTGAAATCAATAAAGACATATTTAAAATAAAATGAGCATGCCTAGTTCACTACATTTTCGCTGCATTTTGTTGGGGTTATAATTTTTATTGGCAGTTAACTGGGGAATGGGGCGGGGAGTGGGGGAGGAGAGTGTACTGAGGCCAGAGGGTTTAGCTGCCTGTCACTTAGGATAAAGAGTAATTGAGGGAAGACTTTAGGAAAATGGGAAAGAACTCCTCCATCCAGGCAGCCAGCCTGTGAAGCCCCAGTCTGAGTGTTTCTTCCGTGAGGACAGATAGTGGCCCAAACAGCCATGGGAAAGCCTGCTGCTGGCCCTCCGAGGCCCTGGGGGCGGATCAGGAAGCCTCGGCTGACAGAGAACTTCCAGAAGAAAGGGCAGCAGAAACACTAGCATCTGGGCCTTCTGCTGTGGTTGGAGGTGGGTATGGTATGTTTGGCCTGAGAACGGTAAACATGTTAGTAAAATAGAGACAGTAGAGAAATTCTTGCCGGGAGGAACCTCAAGATCTAGATTCTCTGGACATTTTTCTCGGAGAGACAAATTTAGAGGCTGACCTAGTGGATCTGTAATAGTTGCCTCTAAAGGTTTCTATCCCTCAAGGTTAGCACTGGTTTGCCAGCTTTTAAAAAGAGCAGTAAGCCGAAACTGGTTTGGCTCAGTGGTAGAGCGTCGGTCTGCGGACTGAAGGGTCCCGGGTTTGATTCTGGTCAAAGACGTGTACCTGGGTTGCGGGCACATCCCCAGTAGGGGGTGTGCAGGAGGCAGCTGATCGATGATTCTCTCTCATCGATGTTTCTCTCTATTCCTCTCTCTTCCTCTTTGTAAAAAAATCAATAAAATATGCCGGGACCGGTTTAGCTCAATGGATAGAGCATCGGCTTGGGGACTGAAGGGACCTGGGTTCGATTCCGGTCAAGGGCATGTACCTTGGTTGCGGGCATATCCCCAGTAGGCGGTGTGCAAGAGGCAACTGATCGATGACTCTCTCATCGATGTTTCTAACTCTCTATCTCTCTCCCTTCCTCTCTGTACAAAATCAATAAAATATATTTAAAAAAAAAAAAAAATGCCGGGACCGGTTTGGCTCAATGGATAGAGCCTCGGCTTGGGGACTGAAGGGTCCCGGGTTCGATTCCGGTCAAGGGCATGTACCTTGGTTGCGGGCATATCCCCAGTGGGGGGTGTGCAGGAGGCAGCTGATCGATGACTCTCTCTCATCGATGTTTCTAACTATCTCTCTCCCTTTCTCTCTGTATAAAAATCAATAAAATATATTAAAAAAAATCAATAAAATATATTTTTAAAAAAGCATTAAAATGACTTGTCCACTCACAAACAGGGAACCTTTGGGCAGTTAAAAAGGAGTATGTCTGGAGAAAGGAGCACTCTTACTTTTGATTCCCTCCAGGGGTTTGTGGTAGCTACCAGGCCTCCAAACAGGAAAACAAAATTGCAGTTGCACGGATGGAGGAGGGAGTGCGGGAGTGCCCTATGGTATTGCTGCAAGAGAATAGAAATAAGCTGGAGAGTAAAGGGAAGGGATGCCTAAGGACAGTTGGACCTCTGAAAGTCACACTTAGCTGAGCTCTGTGAAGCGTCCCTTTTTAAATTTATAGAAATAGACATGGGTTCCATTTTCATTGGACCAGCTAAGGAAACTTACAAAAACTTGTTCTCCTGGAATAAGGAAAAGGACTGTGGCTAGCTTTGTGTCGAAGAAGATATTAAAAACAAACAGGCTGGTCTGGTTTTATTCCTGTCATCCTGGAAAGTTGTGAGAATGTGCCAAAGAGTACCTTTTCTGGGTAACCCAAAGAGCCAACGCACTGAGGCCATTCCGTGCAGGTGGCTCAGCCTTCCGAGGTAGCTCTGAGGCGGTGGGTGTGCCTGTGTTTGCAGGCGTTCTGTCTGCAGGCTGGAAAGAGCTGGTGAAGGAGGAGAGGTGCTCATGGCCTTTGTTGTTAAGAGGAGGTCAGCTAGAAAGAGGAGCGGGAGAAGTTGGTGAGTTGAATGCAGAAGCCCATCTAGAGTTCCCCATCTCACCGGAGCAGCAGCTGCAGACGTGGGGCCACATGTCATTTGTTCACTCTTTTTGTTATACTCTCTCTCTCTCCATGAAGAGTAACAGTTCAACCCTGAGAGGGTGGTACTTATCTACAGAACCAGCCAGTAGTTGCTGGCATATGTTTGGAAGAAAAGGTTAATTTTATATTTGCTCTGTAGGATGCACAGGTAAATTTGATCTCAAACAGTGTAGCTAACAGAAGTTGCTTCTCTCTGAAATCTGAAATGATTTAGTTGTAAATTTGTTGGAGCTAGGAGCCTTTTTTCTCCCCCTAAATTTTTTCATGGCCATAATTTCTATTATTGGTGTGTTTGAGTTTCTTTTATTATTGTTATTTTTTTAATTTTTCAATTACAGTTTATATTCAATATTATTCTGTATTAGTTTCAGGTATACAGAATAGTGGTTAGACTGTTAGGGTCTCTTAGTATTTTTAACATACATGATACAAGAAGCTATATTATATACTCATAACCTTAAGTGATGTTCCATCAAAACTTCTAAAGCAAAGGATCATAATACTTCACCAGATGGGAATATGTGTGTGTAAGATTTAGTGGGTTTATGATGCTAAGGTTGTCTTGGTCAAATAAATGCCTTTTTGAGAATTTATTTTTTTAGATGGTGGTAGTTAAAAAATAAATACACTAATGTTATTTAAATACAGTTGGTAAGACAAGGAGATAGTATCACAATCATTGTTAATTGTTTTTATTGTTTTCTTCCTGAAGCATCAAGTTTATTATAAGATTTGACAGAACCAAATACTTTAATATCCCCTCCCCCCCCCCCAAAATGGTAGAAAACCACAGCAGGGCCCGGGAGAAGGGCCCAGGAAAAACAGTCCATTCTCTGAAGTCTCACTCAAGTGGAGGCCCGGGGTGGACCCACAGCGAGGGCCCGAGGCTGTCCTCCAAGCTGAGCAAGAATTTTGGAAAAGATGCTCCTGAAGGCCCTGGAGGTCCGCACGCCTTCCCGACATGAACCCTCTCGCTCGCAGGTTTTTGCACACGCGGCGTGCATTCCTCCGACCTGCAGCTGTTTGCATCCGGCCTCTGGTTGACCGCCCCGAAATGAAGCTCAGCACCTTGAAGTTCAGCATTTAAAATGCAGGGAGTGTAGCTCGACTTCCCTCACAGTGGTTGACTGTGGCCCTGCCTCGGCCATCCACAATTTTAAAAATTACATTGGCTTGGCTGGCCCTTTAGATGTGCTGCTTGTTAGCGGATGGCCTACAGGGCTTGAGTCTTAATAGGATTCTAGCCGCCCCTGCTGGGCCTGCCTGGCCGGAGGGAGAACGAGGGTCCACCGTCAGGCTGCTCAGCACGGAAGGAGTTTCTGCTGTTGGTTCTCTCTGAGTGCCACCACTCACCATTGCCGCTGCTGTGGGTGGAAGGCCACGCTGGACGCTGGGTCAGGGGTGGCCGGCCCTGACTCCAGGCCGGGCAGGTGGATGGCAGGCTCTTTGGTCTTCTCTGACGGCAGAACCTCTGAGGCGGGGGAAGGATGGCAGCTGTTGGGTTAGGAGAGTGCGCCTTACCCTGATAGCGTGGCCCTTCCCCTTGTATTCCGTGGAACTTGTTAAGATCAGGAATGTGTTGTACTTTCTTTCTGTTTCTGATTCCTGTATCTCGTCCCACTCAAATCCCAGGTTCTTCATTATCTCTGTGACTTGGGGGCCCGTGTGGCCCCCGAGTGGCTCGCTTTAGGCCGGAGTTCCTCCGACTGAGCCAGGGGCCCTTCAGTATATATTCCAGGGTTCTTCTTTCACTGGGGTTGAGGGTCATCATTTTTTAAAAATGCTTGGACATCCTGTAGACACAGGTGTGGTCCATGGAAGTGCTCATTCTGTACCTAAAAGTCCTCCGGCACAGCTGTCAGGGTCCCTGTCACCATCCCGTACAGAACTTACTCCCAGGCCCATACATCAACACGAGGGCGTTCCTGCTCCGTCCATTCCCATGAACCTCCCCCCCTCCCCCCATGTTTGCCATCTTCATAGCACTGACCACAGTGGGGCTGGTTCTTGTTTACTTCTGTCCTGCCCATGAAGGAGGGCGTGACTGTAGTGTCCCCTGTGTGTAGCACAGGGAGTGGCAACAGAGTAATGTTTCATAAATATTTGTTGACTGGATTCATAGAAGAGTTTGGGGGAACTAAAGAAGATATGGCCAACTAATAAGTCAAAGAGCGATTAATAAAAACATCCAGAAAAAGCCATGTTCTGTCCTCACTCAGCTTTTAGCGAGGATACGATGGGAAAGAAGTCTGGTTCCTGGTATGCGGGGGCGTGGTGAAGCTGAGGGAAGGTGAGCAGGTAGGAGTCTAAAGAGGGTGATTTGTCCCTCCAGTGGGACTTGCCAGAGGATGCTATGAATTTGGATCTGCAGTGAGGCTGCCAGGCATTTTTCCACTTTGAATATCCATCAGCAGATGACTCAGAGGACTTCTCCGGTGACCAGGAGTGGGCCATTTAGGTAAATTTCTGTGTTACTTAAGTGAACCATCTCTGTGGAGAGAAGTGATGATGAGACTTGTTAATCTACATTTGCAAAAACACTCTGAAACCTCTGGATGAAAGAATTGCAACAAAGGCACAAGTTGTGAGGCAATAGTTTGGTCAAAGTCTACCCTGTTATGAAGGACACTTAGGGGGAGTCTCTGGCGCGTTACTTTTCAAAGTAATCTAAGAAAGCTCCCTACTCTCATGTATATGTTATTATTTGACTGATTATTTTAACATTTCTCTCCCAAGGTCTCAGCTTTGTATAAAGGGACTCTTCAGAGGGATCTGCCTGTGTGGTTTCCCCTTTACAACACTTCAGTTTGTTAACTTTTACCTTACGTCAGTGATACTCATGACAGTCTCTTGTTGAGCTGATTGGGACCCAATTGGAATCATTTAAACAATTCTAGATAGATATTCACAAGTTACAGGCCAAGATTAAAATAAGCCCAGAAAGGAGAGAAAAGAATTTCCAAGAAAGCTACCAGTCTATGAGTTAATTAAATCCATTTATAAAACAGTAGTATTAATAGCTACTTAAGAAATACCAATGGAATAGAACATTTTCTTGGCATAATGATCTCTTCCAGCAAAGTATATGCATAATGAAAGATGGGACATTTATTGTAAAACTGTCAAGGCAAAAGCCAAGAACTGGATAACTTGAATTCGAGGTCTCTATAGTTTAGGGTGTTCAGTCAGGTGAATGAGGTTCAGGTTTGGGGTCCTTTTAAAATGAATTCATGTATTCTTTTAACCTGGGACTCAGGCCTTCGTTAACAGGTCTGGTCCACTTCCGTGCAGCTGGAGGGAGTCCGTGTGGAGATGTCTCTGCCGGACCACGGATCCACGTTGTAGGCCAGCATGTTTGGGGCCGTCCCCCGGCAGCACGCTGTGGAAAGATGGTTCTCTGAGCTCGCATTGATTTCAGGGGCCTCTGTAAGTTCTTTGCAGGAAGTTAAAATAAGGCAGATTCCCACAGTCCCTGACATAGCTTCATAGGATAAGCCTTCCAGGAACAATTTTAGAAGGGGACAATCAATAAAAACCAAAAGGAATTGACCTTAAGCAATACCAAAGGGAAGGCTTTAAACCAAAGCAGATGAAAAGGTTCAACAAGTTTTACCAATTGACTCTTACCTACCTTGTCAGTTTATTCTCTAAAACTAGAGGATGGGATAATAAGTGCAATGGAAATGCTACAGTATTAGCCAAGATTGCATATCTGGTATTGAATGTGACTATAAAATGGGTTCCCAGAACTCTGTAGGGACTTCCCAAGCAGGAAAAATCCTTTCCAGAAGTAGTTCAGTAACTGTTATGGCTGCAGCCCTTTGATGTGGAATGCTCTACCCAAAGAGAATACACATTTTTATCCTTGAAATCCATTTCCAAACATCAAATTGGCCTCATTACTTTTGTTTCCCCCTTTTGTGACTAAAGATTCCCTTATTTTAGTTAGGCATTTTATCATTCACTTAAAAAACTCTTCAAGCAATTATAGAAGGTTAAATGCTTAAATGTAAAATTTAGCTCTTTAAATATTAAGGTTTGGTTTACCTAAGCCATCAGAGTACATCTTTACGCACCCTTAAAAAACATTTATCCTTTTAACAGAGAGAGAAATCCAAATACCAGTTCTGTGTCAGAGTACTTTAACTTACATCCATTCCAACCTTAGTTTGACCACATACAAGATTTTCTTTTTCAAGATTCCTTTTCCATGAACCTTCTGCAACACACACACTTTCCGTAACTTTCATAAACTTCTAGCTTTTATTCTGTCTTTTTTTTTTTTTTTTTTAAATTTTAGAACAATCGTTTACTTTAGGACACAATTATTTTCATTTTCTTCAATAAAAATGTATTTCATTCCTCTTACCTTCTTTTGCCAAGAGTCATCTTATTCTCTATGTGAATCCTTTTCAATCACCATAACATCCTAATGGACTTTGTCATAAATGGATCTTCATCTAAGGCATCTTTTGCCCTTCCAGGCTTATAAAGTGACACATTGAGGCTCCAAATTTATTTCCCTGGTTTTCGATCTGGTCCGTTAGTTCCAAAGCTAAAGAGCAGTGGACAGCTACATCTCCTTAATTAAACCAATATCCTTAAGCCAGTTTTTATTTACTAAAGATGAATCTTAGATCATGTGCACTTTAAAAGCAATTGCATTAGTTGTTATTTCTCCAATTTCTATGAGTGCTCATTTATTTTAAACCTATTGAATAAGGCCCTTTTACAATCTAACCTAGAATTTGGCAGTACCATCTAGCGATAGAAATAGACCATATCTATAACAGACACACATAGACGCACATATACACACAGACAGCACAGTACAAATCCCAAAAGAAAAATTATGGATTCAAGTATGTCTCTGGCAGATGGACCGAGTTGCGGTTTTGCTTATATGGTCAAAAGTTTTTGCATGCGGCAAGAATTCCTTTAAAGCTGTTGTTGTTTAAATCAAAGAATATATTCCATTGTCTCTGAAAGCTTTGAGATGCCTTTAAAGTTTCTCCTTAAAGTGGGCTTATCAACAAACAAACAAAAGAAATAGAAAGCAGGTGTCCACAATAAAGTCGGAAAGCTCCAAAAGCAAAGAGAATGGCCTCCGAAGTCCTGAGTCTTAAAAGGGGCAGGTTTTCCTGGGGGAAGATTGAAAAAAAATGGCTCCCGAGGTGCAGTCTAAGCATCAGATGCCTGCTGCCCACCTGGAGACAGGGGAGGGAGGGGGAATAGGCGGAGGGTAGGCAGGCTGGTAGGTAAGGGAGGAGCTGAAAAGTGAGGGATCACCTGAGGTTCCATTAGTAAGCCTGGCTTTCAAGTCACAAGCACAAGGGTCAGAGAAAAGGCTTTCCAGTTTTGCCAGTATTGGTTTCTGTTTTCATTTATCAAGGCGTTTACCCAATCTAGAATTACTGTTTTTCTTAAGGGAGATGATAGCAGCCTCTTGACTTTATTTAGATTCTCGAGGTACCAGATTCCAAAAACAGCATCCCATGGTCTCTGGGAGGGACAGTCTTTTCTTTGTTCTGTTGAGCACACATAAACAAACAAGCTTTGGGGTTGCAGAAGAGCCTGTCTTGCCAACAGAGCTTCACATCATCTTGTGTGATCTTTGTCCAGGGTCCTAGCCACTTGCAATTCTCAGGACCATATTTTGGTACATGTAGTCAGCCGGAGTCACAAGCGGTGGCTGACTGGCATGTGACGCTTAGAGCATGGGTTACCCATTTTGCACCCCTTCTGGGCGGTGCCCCTCTGAGTGCCTGTCAGTGTGACAATCAATAAAAAGGGGACAGGCCTAGTCCTAACCTGGAGGATATTCTCCCTGGGCACCAGACTCCAAGAAGCAAAGCCTTCCTGGAGAATACTGTCCTTGGTGCCCAACAAGACTGAGGGATATCACTCCTAGGCACCAAACCCGAATGGAGTAGAAGGGCCCTCTGGGTCCAAACGGGTGAAACAAGGTCACCGGGTGAGGGTCCCCCAGCTAAACCGAATAATCTCTGAGACTTCATCAGCAAGAGGGGAGATCGTGGATCTGAGAGGACTGACTGCAGGAAAGCTAACTCAAGCATAGGGGCTCGTACAGTGCCGGATGCCTTGGCTTCTAAATGGAGTCAGGTCATGGTGTCAACTGAAGGTCGCTGGTGTCAGTTCAACACCAACAACATCTTCTGATTTGGGGTGTGATGAAGAAGGACAGTTTAGTGCAAATAGCTCAGTTGTGACAGCATGGCTGGTAGGTGGCCACTTCTGCAGCTAGACAGCTCTGCTCTGCTCCTCGCTGCTCTGCTCAGCTTCGCTCAAGGAGACATCATTTTCAGCTGCAGCAAGGGAAACAGTGTAAAATCTTTTTCATTTTTTAGAAAATATATATTTTTTTTATTTCAAAGAGGAAGGGAGGGGGAGAGAGAGAGAGAAACATCAATGATGAGAGAGTATCATTGATGGGCTGCCTCCTGCACGCCTCCTACTGGGGATTGAGCCCGCAACCCGAGCATGTCCCCTTGACCGGAATTGAACACGGGACCTTCCAGTCCACAGTCCAATGCTCTAGCCACTGAGCCAAACCAGCTAGGGCAACATGTATAGTCTTCAGTGGAAAGGGAAAGTGGTTCTTAGTCATTGTTATTTTAGCAGCTCAGGTTCTATCATTGTTATTTTAGCAACTAAGATTCTACCTGTGCATAGAGAGAGTGAGAAAACGCCAAGAGAAGGATGGGTTATGGGGGGGAGGCAGAGGCACTGCAAGTCATCCTAGTTCATGTTCTCAAATAACTTAAGATCCCAGCTTTATGTCCTACGAATGAGTGAAAGCATATGGTTCTGAACTTTCTCGGTCTGACTTGAAACCTATATAAACCTTATTAACCACTGTCACCCCAATAAATTTAATTTTAAAAGTAATTTAAAATTCCAGATTTCAGCAGGATTTCAAACCGTTAGGATCTCACCCACTGCTTTATATGTGCTTCATAATGAGTGAAGACAATGAAATGGTATTTAGTGTATTTGACTACTGGGGACTCAGGGATTCCTGGACTTGGGAAGTTCAGTAAACGGACTGACATGCACTGTGTCAACACCAGGTCTTTGTGTGTGGCTATAGCACTTATCACACTGCACTGCATACCAAAGCCCTTCGCCCCTCGCCACTAAGCCACGCTCCTCAGCGGGTCTGTGTGTGTATCCGCGGCACCTAGCACAGTGTCTGGCACATCAGATAGAATGGAAACCGAAAGTGGGTTTCTGGAGTTTCTGACATTGGAATGTGAAGCCTACTTTGGCATTTTACCGCAAGTTAATTGTAGTTTTAAAGAGTGGTACAGATCAAGTTGATTGGTTGGGTATGAATGAGAAATTCCTGCATGGGAGAAAAGTTGCACTTCTATTTTTTTTCAGGAGAAATTGTGTTCTGAAGGTTTTTACATCAGAACATTAACGCAGTTTTGAATATAAATAGGAATCAGATAAAATAAGAAGGATGG